ACAAAAGGAGTGGCCCGGTGGACAGGCTGACATCGGCATCTCCAGTGTGGTAAAACGAACCAAAAACGGACCAGACGACTTTAAGCTAAGGAGTTTCTTAAAGGGAATAGGTTGCCAGTTCTGTCAGAATTCCCCTGAATTAGCAGCAGAGAGGGACACTTCCTGTACGGTAGCAACTAAGAAGATTTCCATGAGCCTCTGTCAATGCTAATAACCACAGTGGACTCACAGAAAGCTCCCCCAGGGCTATTTGACCGTGCAGGCATTGGGAGGGGATGATTTTCGGGGAGGTGGGGGTCGGTGGGTTTGAGCTGATGCCTCTCAGACTGTCTCAACTCATTTAGCTCTTCGAGGCACGGCCAATCCAACTCTCTCGTGTAGAAAATAAAGTTCATCGTAACCCTGCTGTGTTTGGAGATGGGGAGAGCACAGAAGCGAGGAATGGGTAAGATGCGTGAGCGGACAGCGAGGACGAAAGACAAATATACAGACAGACACGCAAGCAGATATTCAGAGGCTTGTCTTAGGGGGTCTCGGGGCCTTCTGGGTGTGCCCCAGTGCTGACATCAGCAGAGCCAGAGCAACATCCACAGAGCACCATGAACCGCAAAGGGTGGGCGATAGGAAGAACTGCAGGGAGGGGCAAGGAGGAGAGAAGATGGAGGGGGAGGGGATAAGGGTGGGGGTACAACACTTGTAATCGGATCATTGGCTACAGTGGGTTGAGTCGATGTGATCAATAGAAACTGCACATGCAGCAGAGAGCCTTTAATGGCTCTTAATCTCCATCAGGCCTGAACAGAAGGGTTGAAGAGGAAGTCACAGGAGCAAAGGCAGCCTGCATCACATTACACACTCAACCTACACTCGCACAAAGCCATGCACTTAGATTCTCTCTCTCACACACACACGGTATACACACACGTACATTTACCGCTGAGTATATACTGGTGACTCCCAGGGCTCCAGGCCTCAGCAGCCAGCATGTCATATTTCTTCCCTCTGCACCTTTCTCTTTCATTTCAAATGCATTACATCTCAGACCTTTCCATTCAGCGCTACCCCCTGCAATGCAAAACCTTGGCTTGAACACACCGTCCCAGCACAGGACATATTCCAACCTTTGAATTTAATAAGCAGCCTGACCACATCTAGTGTCTTCACTCATCATCTCTGCAGCACAAGAGAGGGTGCAGTCCAGTTCTGAAGTATAAATGTGTTGCCAAAGCTCTGTGTGCAGCGCTTTCTCTTATTCCTTTAGTTAATTTTACTCATCTGGTCCATAGATTAAAGATTCATATTTATGAGGCCCTGTGCCGGGTGTAGCCAAGTGTCCTGAAAGGGTAGCGCAGCACAATACACATACAGATAGAAAATTAGTGAGTAAAAAACACAGCGGCAGTCCTCTCGATCTCGTCTTTCTTTTACTCATCCTTTCTTTCCACTTTGCACTTTCCCACTCCATACAACGGCCTGAAACCTGAGGGCAGAACTGTAAAATGAATAGCGATGGCCCAGATATGCTCAGATGATCTCGGATAAGAGACCTTAGAATATGCACCAAGTATGGTTCCTTTTGTTTGGGCCTTTTCTCTTTTTTATTTTGTCCCCATATGCCAAATGCACTCACTCTCCAGTCGATTTCAAAGCATCATAAAGCAGGATTGATGAAGCTGTCCATTCTCATGTCTCTTGTGTGTACATTTTAGCTCTCTGAAGGACAGCAGGAAATGCAAGTATCTTAACAGCATGCCGGATACACAGGCACTCCATTTTACACTGAGACCTATATCCACTTACATTAGTGATACACAGGGAAAGGTTTTTCATACCCAAGGAGTTGCATCAACATTGTGGCGTTGATTTGATCGGCGCTTCATGTTGCCAGGAAACATTTGAACAGATTAATGACCCCGTAGGCATTGAATTATTCCCTGTTGCTTTGAACACTGCCGATATGCGTTACATAAACATTTCATTTGTCCTACAAACACAGAGTTGTGAAGAATGCTCTTACAGTTTGCTGACGAACACATTAGTTATTCCTACTGTTGGCATAGCTTTATAAATCAACTGCATAAAAAGGACTTATGAAGTGAGTTGCCTTGTATTTACAGTATTGGGTAAAATTGTAACTGTAATCAGTTTTATCCATGCGTCCAGTTGAGTAATTAGAATAATAGTCACCCACGTATATTGTTTGCTGTACATTTTAAGTATCTCTAAAATCCGGAATGTGTCCCACAGGTACGTATATATATATATACATTATGTTGCAGGCGGTGCTGAAGTGCACAGACATTCATGGCCCCAAACTCACTTTGGAGAAAGAAAACTAATTATGATTTGATGAGCTCAGTTTGTACTTTTCTTAAAGGGGCACTCCACTGATTTTTGCACATGATGTCATCAGGGTTATAGTCTTAAAGGTTGTCTATACGACATTCAGAGAATTAATAGAGCGTCAAACAACTATTTGGCAACATGCCTTTTAGTGCATATGAGCATGCCCCACCTCGCTCACGACCGCCGCTCTGCACTGCACTCATAAAGCGATTACAGCAGATAACGCCGCCCCCGATCGGCGGCGGGGTCACGGACACGAAGCACCCACCCTCCGGGTCACGCTCAGGTAAACACTGTGTCGGCACTGTTAGCTGCGAGCTGCCTTTAACATTTTTGAAAGAAAAACTGTGTGGGGTTTGAATTAAGTAGGCATTTAGAATGCAGTGGGGCTCTTTTTTTGCATCATGGGAAATGTAGGATTTCACAAATTTGTGGCTTGACTCATTCTAGGGACAGGATATCTTGGCCTCTGCTGCAAAACTTTTGATAAATCTTTTTTTAATGTGTCTCTTTTGACCTATTGCACCTCCACTTTATGCAAGTGCAATAATCCATTGCTTGAGGACCCCTTTAATTATTGTTTCCCCTTGTGGTTACTTTCCAACTTGGTTACTGTTTTGTATATGTACATGCTCATGTATGTTTAAGTACATTTCCCTTCTATGCATGGCGCCTCCCTGTGGTCATCAGAGACAATAACAGCTCTAACACTTAGATGTGCAGCATAACTGCTCTTTGAACTTTTAGCCTTGGCTGTAAATACAACACACAATTATAACATAAATATATAAAACGAGATATTAAATAAGACCATGCTGCTCTATGCCAATCTAAATGTAATGCAAGTGATCATTATTTGCTCTATTCAACACCAGCATTAACAGAATTACAAAAAAAAAACGAATATTGAGAAAACACGAGACTGCAAATCTGTCATTTTGCTTTCATTGTATGCGGAACAATCAAGTCTGTCCAGCTTAGCTCTACATTATATCGTTGTGTTCGGCAAAATGTTCAGCCTCTACTTTCACTTAGCAGATAATGATATAACCATGGCAACAGAGACACCTTGGAAAAGGGCAGGAAGAAAACTTTAGACATTAGTCACTCAAAACCCTCTTTTTCATATAGAGAAATAAAACTCGGCTGATTATTTCCCCTGACTTGTTGAGTAACACCTTGAAACTTCAGTTGAATACAGACCTGTGAGTCCTATTACATTAATCATTGTCGGTGCTCTTATATTCTATTTCACTTACGCCACCTTACTTTCAGCTACATGTGGAGACACTTTCCTGCATAACACAAACAATGCTTATCAGCAAGGCAGACACGGATAATCTAAATAATTTCAGGTTCTTCTGATCAACTGCGTGTCAGTTAACAAGAGTCATTAATAGGATTAATGTTCTGTGAGGACTTATTAGGTGATACGCCATCGCCCAGAGTGTGAAAACCTTCAAAACATCGTAGAAGTGCCAACCCTGAGACTTGCCCTAACCTTGCCTTGAGCCATGTGTTGATGAGTCTTCAGTGTGACTGAGACTTCAAAGGCATTTCAGCTCACTAAGCAGAGGATGCTCCTTCTCTCTCATCTTCACTCAACTGAATCCCTCTGCAGAAGGACATTTTGATGATTTGGGGGAGGGGGGGAGAAAAACATTTGCTTGGCACTTTCTTGGAACAGCTTTGACCACTGCGGATGGGGGCAAATTAAGTCCTGCTAACGTTAAAGTCATTAACCAGTTAGTTTGATCCCAAAATGGTAAAAACAACATGACGAGCCATTGAAGTTGGATGAAAAGAAGCTCGCAGTGCATATATTTTCCTGTTTCATTCTAATGATTAAAAAAATAAACAGCAAAAAGGTCTGAGAATAAAAGCTATCATACTGCATATTTAATCAATTCCATGAACAAAGTAAAGTCAGCTTCATATCAGAGGCCCATCTCTGCACCATCACACGCTAGTAACAGTGAGGGCGTTGTGAGGTGAATAAAGGGCTTGTCCCCTGCTTAGTTTTGTCTTCACACACAAATGGAGGCAGGGAAAGTGTGGTCTTTTCAAAGGCCGCCTGCAGGAACCTGATGGACGCACAAATTAACACAGAGAGAGGAGAGAGGTTGCAATCCAAAGCCTCCAATGTTATAATTACAGCTCTTTCTTCCCCCTTGACAAACACAAAGAGGGATTTTTCTCTCTCCCTGCTCACATCCTCTTTCTCCCTCTTCTCTCCACCTCTCGCTGCACAGCTTGGCGAGCTGGCATTAATTGCTCCAAAAAAGCTGTGGAAGCACAACAAGTACTTCTCATCCTGGCATAATTGTGTCTGTAGGAGTTGGAGGGCTTGAGAAGAAAGAGGGCTTTGCTGCTTACAGGAAGGGCTTTGTAGTAGGTCTCTCGAGAGAGCGGAGGACTTTTGAATTGAAAGAACCGTGATATGATGGCGCACTCTGGTGGACAAACAGTGAAAGGAAAGGTATTAATTTCAAGGTGGAATAAATATAGAGAATATAAATAGCAAGGCGCACAAAAAAATGTCCCATTGTCTCATTATTTTCCTGTGAATTAAGGAAAACATAATACAACACAAAACGTGTATATATAACAGCATGCTGATCGTGAAACAGTCGGTAAAACCCACAATGAAAATTAATTTCAATAACAATTTTATTCATATAATTTTGCAATTAATCGTTTAATCATTAAGTCTTTTTTTATAGGTCTAACATATGTCAAAGTCTGTCTATGGTTACTGTACTACCTTTACCTGCCCTGGCAACTAAAGCAAAATAACGTCATTTAAAATTGAAAACAGCAAACAGGAAATTCCACATAATCTATCATCACATTGTATTTCAAGATAATATTACAAAGTTTCTGACAGTTTAAAATAAATCATGCAGTCACGAAACTTTACAGGTGAGTAGTTGAGATCAAAATGAAGATGGGTGTGATCAGAGCAAGGGAGCCAGAAGTAGGGGGGGGGGGGAGGAGCCATTGCCTCCCCATCACTGTACGCCCCCTGGACCAATTGATGGTAGTTTTTTAATCTTTGTGAATTTGTAAAATATTGAATAATTTGAAGTTTCCTGAGGGGAAACGTCATCGGCCAAAAAGGCTGGAAACTGTTTTAATCTGTAACAAATGTTTGTTTTATACGATCGTATGTTTTTTTTATGTAAAATCCTAACTTGTAAAGTAACTATTAATTAAATGTGGTGGAGTAAAAAAGTACAACATTTGCCTCTAAAATGTAGTGCAGTAGAAATAAAAAGTGGCGTAAAAAGCAACTACTCAAGTGCACGTATCTAGAAATTGTGCTTTCGTACAGTAAATGTACTTAGTTACATTCCACCACTGCCTGTACCATCCATGCACATCCATGCATCGTTATACATTCCAGTATTGGTTGTAATCCCTGCAGTTGTATCGATATATATCAACTAACCCACTATAGGCTGGCAGGTCTGCCTCCCAAGCATCATCTTCAAGTCAATTTATTGTACACCGATGATATTGTCAAACCAACCCCCACTGGCACCAGCACATTTTACACTCGTCAGTAATACGCTGCAATGCAAAGCAGATGTGGACATGGAGCTGCTACTGTAAATTTATTTAGAGGCACATATGCAACTAGGCGAGGAACGATCTGCTTGGGCTGCAGGAGAAGAGTTCATAGTTTCAGTTTGTGTGAAGCATAGAAGTAATACACACATTTCTGAGGCAAATGAGTACACAAAAACACAAAAGCATGGTTTGCGCTAAACATGGATCATTTTTATTTAGCTAGTGAGTTACCTAGAGGAGAAAACTGTCACATCCTTGCAGTTGATGTCTTGCCGTTTTGGGGGAATCCCAGTCAAGCCAAGGGGGGGGGAGGGGGTGATGTGAGGATTCTCCCAAAAGTGCTTTGAGTTGTTAAGGACAGACAGTCTGATTGAGCCTGAGGTACGATACAGTACATCAACATCAGAGCAAAGACAGTCACCCACAGGACCCAAGGAGGCCTGCGCTATAGTTCTACCAGAGCAGCAGGTTTCTCCTCAGACAAATGCACTTCAGAATGACAGAATCACAAAAGAGAGAGAGAGAGAGAGAAAAAAAAAATACAAAGATGTGCATTGGCCAGTGTTTGCCAGCCTGCTGCATAATTGTAATCTTTTGGTACACAGAAACAGATGCACAAAGGAAGGGAACAGGTAGAGGGAGGATACATCCTATGATTGGCATGATTGTGGCTGTTTCCCAATTATTTCATCCCACCTGTCAATCCTCCAAACCTCTGTCTGAGGACTCGGATCAGATGGTTGAATACAGATTCAAGTAAAAGACTAAATCATACATAATCTTTATTTTCTCTTCAGGAGCGGATGAAGCTCACCAATATCCCATTTTGAGGCATAAACAAAAAAAAAAAAAAAGAAGAAAACTACAAATAAGCCTGGTGAAATCTACTGACTACTTCGGTTAGTCAGTTAGTTGCTCTCAAACTAAATCAAAGAAGAACAACACAGAATTAGAGAGTTACGGTAGAGGCTGTTTAGGAGGACTGAAAGTGCTTTAAAGACAGATTTTTTTCGAAGTGGGTTACGTTTTTCTCGTGAGACAGGAACACAGGGTTTGATGCACCAGTCAACGGATACAGATGAGTCCATCTATTGTCATGTTCAAGTGTTCAGATACATTGTCGTCTTCAGCGGAAAAGATTTGTGAGAGCCTTTCCTCCTTGTGGTTAGGCAAATTATATGTAAGGTCCTACATCATTAGTGTTGCAGTTCTAGCAGAGAGCTTGCTTGAAGGTTACTGTTTATTTCTATTGCGCTCCTGGCGAGAGAAAAAACAGAGAGGTAATCAGTGGATGGTATCAGAACAAGAGCAAACAAAGGACACAAGCAAACAGGAAACAAACACGTCTGTCATTCACGGGATGAACGTCAAATGTTGAAGGAATATCCAAGTCTTTGACTTGTGCTAATCTATGCGGTCAGATACATGTGAAATTGTAAATAGCAAGGAAGTCTGGGACCGCCGACAAACTCTGACATCCTAATAGATGTCACAATTGGTTTTCGAGGCCCTGAAGATATTATCCAGTAAGAGATCCTGATCATGCTACTGTGACCTAAGCCATTTATGAAGGAGATCAATATTAATTTTACTCCTTAGAAGAGCTGTATCGAATGAATGCCTTCATTGTGTCCATCTGCACTCGTACCACTCGGCAAATGTCAATAATTACTCTTATTTATTGAATGTTTCTATCTGGAATACTTGTGGTCTTTGAATTATACATAGAATATATCTTTTTTTAATCAATTACAACTCAAATATAAGATAAGCTGACAGCATTAGTCCATTGAGGACTGATCAGTGTCGGTGTGCTGCTTTTCAATCAATTCTGACTCTTTGAGAACAGCTGTCTCTCTCCAGAAGTCTAATACCAAATTCATTTTTAATGTCCTACGTTGTTCCATTTTGTAGTTTGACATCCTGTTCTCCATGGAAAGTACTCGTTTCCAAAAATCAAATGATGTTTTGCAAATTATCTAAACATTATATTCCAATATGAGCACAATTTAACTTAACGTAAGTAATAAAGACAGTCGTATAAAAATCATGATTAGTTATTTACAGGAAAAAAAAAAAAGTGTTTACAAACTCCTCAGATGAAAACAACCTCTAAGATGACAACATCAAGTCTATCATTCCCACTGTTGATACACCGAGTTCCTCTACTGGCAGGAAAACCAATCACTAAAGTACCATTATGCTTTCTGTTTAGTGTTAAGATAAGTGAGACACCGAGCAAGAGAGTATCCGATGCAAGAGGAAATGACTTGAGTAGGCCTCAAGATATATACTAAACAAAATGTTTGGACATGTTTTGGTTTCCACTGCCGGCCTGGAAATATGAAATATTCAAGGATGTGTCATGGATTACAGTAAAAGAGGATTACAGTGCCATCTTTGAGGAGTGAGTGTCCATGTCAGTGGTTTGAGAAAAGCCCTATAAGACCAGTGTAACTCTATCCCCACAATGGATGCTCAGACTGGCTCCGGGGACGGCGGACTGGTTTTCACCCTAACGCAGCATGAGCTTCTTTATTACTACATCCAGTAGGGGAAGGAAGCAGCTAACCTTTAAGTATTAATTGCCAAATTAGTTATGCTAATAACATCCTGCAACAACATTTAGATCCAAAGTTATCTTTAAGAAAAACCCCTTTGGGAAGGTGCGATAGTGCAGGTGGCTGTGCTGGTTTGACACCCCTCACAGTTCGGGGAAGGACAGGCCAGACAACGGAGAACAATTACCCTTGTCAGGCGAAGGAGGGCGAGGCCTGAGCCGGGCCGATCCTGTCATGTAGGAGGTCAGGGCTACAAAAGCAGCACAGCGCAACGCCCGCGCCACGCAGGATGAAACAGGCTTTCTACTGACAGGTTGTTTTCAGAAGCCTGAAAACATTGACTTGAAATATTTATGAGAAAGTAACCCAGCGCATATTAACAAGGTCAGCAGAGAGGAGTCAATACAGCCTCAATGGAGCACCAGCAGTGGAGGACTGGGAGAGAAAGGAGGGGGCTGGTCATGGAGGGGGGGGGGGGGTTAGATTAGCATACTGGTGAATCTAAGAATGGATGCTGCAGGATGCCAGCAGTGATAACATGTCATTCTCCCCCTCGGCTGCTGTTTTTCCACAGCAGTAGCATCCCACATAGTTTTTTACCACTTAGACTAACATTTGTGGTACACCACTGTTATTACCTCTGCAACATATTTTAGCTTTCCCCTCGGAGGGCGCAGGCTTACACTGCGTGTGAGCTTTTCAGAACTGTGTGCACAGAAAAAAAAAAATGTAACAATGCATTTTTATCATGTATTTTGCTGGAAACATCTAAAAGGAAAACTGCACCAAGTCTGAGGTACGTTGCAGCCAGTCTGCAGGCCGAGGGATTATGCTGTTAAAGACTAGTAAAGCATGAGGAGCCTGTGGAGAGCAGAGAGGCTCGTTGATCAAAGGGAGATCAGAGCCTACATCTGCCTTTGTCTGATAGAAAGGAATGCCAGGAATGTGGGCTATTTCAGGAAATCGCTACGCTAACTCCACTTGGGCAAATCATCGCAGTCTCAACTGCACAAGATGGCTGATGAGGAATTAGGGTTTCCTGAACCTGCCTATGAGTAATGGTGGCACGTCAATCTGCTGACGGGCCTCTGGGAACTTCCATTCACACCAGACTGTTCATTGAGCTACAGGATGTTGCAACCTCTCTCTAAGAGCAGGTGGCACAAGATTAGCTGATTACAGTCTGGCTCCAGCCCGTAGCAGTGATTCAGGGAAAGTTACCTCCCTTTAGACTAAAGGGCAACTAAACTGAACTGTCTCAACCATACAATCAAGCTATTTACAGGGGACAGGGTTATTTACATGTATGTTCATCTCACCTTCCTCAGAGCCTCCTCCTCTTCCTGACGTTTCTCATAATGTGCAAAGTCATCAAAGATTGAGGTGGTATGCTTGTAAGTGGCGATAATTTTAAGCACTTGTTTGGCCTTTTCCAGAGGCACTTCCTGAGTGTCCCTGGAGTTGGTTACTGGCTTGTTGTCATTGTTCTCCAGCCGGATGTGTCGCAGCTGGTTGTTGGGCACGTCTTTGATGAACGCCCACTTCACCTCAAACTTGCCCTTCCACTTGTCCTGAGACCAGACGCCTGCATAGGCATTGTAGTCCACTGGTGAGCGCATCTCGGCCACACCACAGAAGTGCCCGCTGCCGTTGACGCTGAACAGCAGGTACAGGGGCCCCTTGTTGCCCAGTGAGCGGTAGGCACCATCCAGACGCTTGTTGCCGTGCTCTGTACTGCACCAGATAGAGTACTTGATTGAGCGGTGGATGTCATCTTCAGAATAGCTCTTGATAATGAAAACTCTGCCATTTTTCAAGTTCCAGTCAAAGTCTTTGGGGTTGTAGTTGTTGAGGGCACGGAGTTTCTCCAACACGGGATGCACTTCTCCGGAGCAAGGGGAGGCACTAAGTGGGAGTCCCCCACCCAGACCGAAGCCCTCACCGCGGTTCCTGGGAGCCACCCAGCGGTTGGGGGGAGGGCCAGGCTGCTGGGGTTGTTGGTGATGAAGGGGCTGTAGGGGACCAGGTTGAGAGGAGAGGTGCATGTGTGGATGGCCAGGGGGCATGGGCTGGGGGTGCTGGGGGGACTGGAGAGCATGGAGCTGGAAGGACTGGTGTTGGTGTTGGGGCTGGTGTTGATGTTGATGTTGGTGTTGGGGCTGATGTTGGTGTTGGGGCTGGTGTTGGTGTTGGTGTTGATGTTGGTGTTGGTGTTGATGTTGAGGAGGCAACGGGTTTTGCAGTAAGGGCTGGGGCTGAGCTAGGAGAGGCTGCTGCACCATAGGCTGCGGGGGCATCATATTCTGAGCTAATTGGGGCTTGTTCAGAGAGCCCTTCTCATCCCAAGTACCAATGTTCATATTGTGCTTTATGGGGGGCGGGGGAATGGCACCTCCCCCCATCCCCATGTTGGCTTTGGGTTTGACCTTGGGCTGCGGCTTGGCCGGCTTCTTGGCAATGGCTGCCCAGGAGGCAGGTTTAGGTGCAGATGAGCTGACAGACGGAGGGAGGCTATTGGCTGCCATACTGCTCATACCTGCTGTGCCCCCTAGGGGGGAACCCACGGTTTTAGTGACAGCTGCCACCATGTCCGCACCCAGTTTGAGGCCCGTCATACCTTGCTCAATGCTGTTCAGCACCGGGACTTTACTAAGCTGGGTGTCGCTTCCAAAGCCCGCCTGTCCGTCCGTGATGGCCCGACCCAGCGAGCTGGGGGCGTACCCATAGCTGTTACTGTAGACTGAGCTCTGTGTGGACTGACCCTGAGAGACACTGGTACCCCAGGTGGAATAGTCTGCATTACCAGGGAAGAAGTTGAAGCCATGCTGGCCCAGGAAGGGAGGGGTGTTCCCAAGGGCACCTGGCTGGCTGAACACGCCGTCAGGGATGAAGTGCGGCTCGCCATTGCTCATCTGTCCATAGGCGGTTAGGTAGGGCATGGGAGGGTCTCCTGCTGTGGACCAAGCGGCCTCTCCCAGAGAGTAAGGGAAACCGATGGAGGGAGCATAATAGCTGGGCATGTAGGGGTCAGACATTGGTGGATAGCTGTTACCCTGTGGGACATAGAGAGACAGTTAACGCACTAGACATGACGACAAATAACAAAATAATTAAAACATGGTGACCTCATATTATGAACAGTGAAGATAGATTGCGAGTTCATACTTTGAAACGAACAGAAACTCACAAAGAAGTGACTGTATTTATGTGTTTTGTAGCTACATGAGGTTATACTGTCCACAAGTACTAGGTGACACGGTGTCGCTCTGGACAGACCATATTATGGTTTAATGTAGGAAAGTACCTGATTTGTCTGGCCGCTTAGATAAGGCTCAAAATCATCATCATTCACACCATCCTTTTGATGCATTGATCCGTTTTGCACTGGGGATAAGAAGCAAAAGGACAGTAAATCATCATATGTGCTCATTTGGAAGTCACAAATATTTCCAGCTCAACTAATTATCTAAAATCGAAAACTGACGAGATCTCAGTTTGGTGTAACAAACGCAGAATTAGGGAACATACATAATATCAGGCTACAGTTTCAAAGCACAATCAACAGTAAGCAGATAGCATGTTAGCTCATTTCAATTAATCAAAACAGATGGTACCGCCACACTCTGATGTGCAATTTATAAAAAGAGGGCTCGGTTTTTCCATTTAAATCATCAGTGTTAAAACGCATTACCTTTATTTCCTTGTCCTTTAGGTCTCTGAAACAGTGAGCAGCACAGGAAAAGGAGATGTTGTTAGATCACGACAGGAAACGAGAAGCACACACACACACACATAGAGAGAGAGAGAGAGAGAGAGAGAGAGAGAGAGAGAGAGAGAGAGAGAGCAGGCTGTATGCTACATAAATAAATATATATAACAGTCGAAAACCATCAGCACGGAATGTTAACATTTACAGGTTGCCGGATGTCAAACGATGTGGCATCCAGTAACTAAACGGTGCCGCATTGGCAACCGGGTCCAGCTAGAGTGGGTTGGTAATTCATCCGGCCTACATCACAGCTAATAGCTAACCATATATCAAAGACTTTTCTCTTTTTTTTTGGTACCCTGTTTGATCTGGCGTGGCCCAAACCGGATCAAAACTGTTGTCAGCAAAGTTTCACGGCTAATTCACAGCAGCTTTGGGCTGCCGGTACACGAACCTGATCGACTGTGGTCGCAGACATCCTCCAGGAAGCGACACTGAGAGCTGGTTCGTGAGACTGTCCACGGCTTCCCCCCCTGTTTCTCTCTGCTCTCCGGTGCTTTCCCTGGCTCGTTTCTCGGGTCGTCCAATCGCTCTGTAACGGTTGCGCGGCGGAGGGTTTTTTTTTTTTTCTTCCTTCCTTCCCGTGGTCCGACCCGACGACGATCTGCTTCTTCTCGTTGTTACAAACGGCGACTGTGTGTCTGTGGAGGAGAAAGCGTCGGTTAAATATGTGCGATCCTGCACACAGATGGCCTTCAGCAGTCAACCTGAAAGTGCCTGGTGTCTTACTGGAATATCCCTTACCATTTTCCACAATGGCGGATGGGCTTTTTACTCCCGCTTCCGTTCCGTTCTGCTGCTCCGTGACCTTCCGCCTGTGACGCTCTGAGTCATGTTGCAAGCTGACACTTCACATGACAGTCACAACAAGTTACTACATTATATTCTCTATTCAGAGCAATGTCGAGCCTTTTTATCGACCAGCTACTGTTCAATCTGATATCAAGATAATATAGTCACCTCTGCATTAGGTACTATGTCAAACACATGCACGTCTGAATTATCAAGTGGATAAAATACATTTTAAGAAATACAAAATAGAGTGCATTCAAAAACAAAAGGGTACTTGTATTTTCTACTATTTTCTAGTTTTATTCCACTTCATTTCAAATTTATGTTTTTAATCAAAGCATCTGATTAACCTGTAAGATATGTATTATATTATAAAAGAGATTCAACCAACTACAACATTAAAATGACCCTTATACATTAATGCATTATTATTAACAATCTTATAATATGTCATAGGCCTAAACAATAAGCTCACAGGAGCCATTTTGAATGGAGGACTCGGGGTAACTTGAAACTGATTATTTCACAGTGTGGTATTGCTAATGTTGCTTTATTAAAGGATGTGGATACGTATTTCATCATGGCCTATAAAAACTAAATATTGAGTATAAAACACTCATGTAGGCTGTATTAAAGAGTAGGTCAAAATAAGTTTTTTGGCTGCCATTAAAGACATGTTACTGAAGTGCAGACATGTAGTACTGTAGTAGTAGTAGTAGGAGAATAAATGTAGTCTTTTTCTATTTGGCATCTGAGAAAAATATGTTTAGTGAAATATAACGGCTATATTTAGTCAAGTACGGATATGAGGTATATCTATAGGTACTTTAATATTATTTACTCCTGTGTACTTTTACTCCACTGCATTTGTCTGATGGATGTAGTGACTATAGTTCCTTTGCAGATTATAATGTTGCATACAAAACATTATCAGTTTATAAAACATGATGAATTGTAAAGATGAAACTGTCCAACAGTACCCAGTGAGCACTAGATATAAAATCAGCTACAACATTAAAATGCAGGACAGGAGTATTTTTACACTACTTTAACTGATCTGAGTACTTCCTCCACTGCTCCACAGAGCGTTACTGTAGTTGTAACGTAATGGACTACATGTGCTCTGACTAAACGAGAGTCACTGGTGCTGCTACTCTCGCGATACTTCCTCAGTGGGTCGCGGAGCAGTATGGCAGCCGTGGCGCTGAGGTCCTGCCGCAGAGGACTTTCACATATTTTAAGTAATGGAGGGCTCGCAGCTTTGTCTTCACAGCGTCTGGAAGGTTTGTTCAAATCTCCGGTCTTCGTACAACACATTTCTTGACGTCTGAGTTTCATATGAGGACATTTAAACGCAGAGGAGGGGGTGTGGTTCACGCAGACTGCGTCGTCTTAAAAATGTAGGGCATGTGAACGGTGCGGTGTTTGTGAATGTTTTTGCGTCACCTCCGTCGATTGTCGCTGTATTAAAAACCTCTTCGACATTACTTGGTCTCGTTATGTAACTGTGCCTCCATTCTTGGTATATTTTTGTCGTCATGGGGGGAAAAAAATGACCACGTTGTATCTCCACCATCCATGTGCTGCTTTCTAGTTTGCGTCAAGAGAAGCCTTATCTTACGAAATTGTGTGTGTGTGTGTGACATTGTATCACGCAAAGATGTTTTTCTAATTAAGCTATTTCACCGTAGGGTGTTGCGAGTCATTTACGTAACACGTTTTGTCATAGCTATGATACGTTCCATTGTGCCAACCAGGGGTCAGGAGACACAAGTCCACAGTCCAGTATGCTTCACGACCAGACCTCCCAAAGCTGGCCTACAGAAGAGTGAAGGGGAAGAGCCCAGGTGTGGTCTTCCTCCCAGGATATGGCTCCAACATGAATGGGCAGAAAGCTGAGGCACTGGAGGAGTTCTGTAGGTCACTAGGTCACTCGTACCTTAGGTAAGTCATTCAAGGTGCACACAATGCTCATAATCTTATACTAAATGAAAATAGATCAGATCAAACATACCTCATACATACAGTGTTTGTCCTGGATGTCGTGAGTCTTCTTTTCCATCTGTAAACTGAGAAACACCTGCAAATAATACGTTTGCACTCGGCAATTAAACTTGATTCTCATAGCTCTTTAAACTGAACACGGATAATCTAAAGTGTGTTACAGCTTTGCAAGGAGTATAAATAAAATGTACAAACTGGAAAAGATGCACGCTCCCACCACACACCCACAGCTCCTACAGCCTTGATCAAATAACAGGAGAAGCACCTGTATAGTTTTTTAAAGTTGTGTTTACTGGAATAATTACTAGAAAAAGGAATGCAATTTCTGTGAGACAGCTGCTTAGAATAATTCGTCACCATATAATTAAGATACAATACATATAGCGGCCCTGTGAAACAAACAAACAAGCAAAATATGCCTTAGTATGAATAATAGATTTAATTGTGTTTGTTTTAAATGCAGTTATAACCAAGATAACAGAGTATATACAAAATATATTTTAGTGGATTTGATTATGGAGAGTGAATTTTGCATGCACAAAATGTCTTAAATAATGTAACTAAAACGATAACAAGTATTGATCCTTTTCACTGAGATCCTTCATTTCAACAGACAAGCTCTGTTCATTAATATTCAAAATTGAAAAGCCAAAGGTTTGCATTTAAATGATGCAACAACTGGTAACGTGTGAGACGCCATAACCAGCAATCAATCTGGTTATTTTCTCAATTTTCAATCAATAGTTTGAATGACAATGCGATGTCTGGAACGGCTGGAGGTATATTTCAAAGCCTCCATTCCTGAGGTGACTGGCTATGAAATACATGGCTCCATCATACTGAAAAGTCAAAGGCCTCATCCAATGTTCAGTGTTGTATAAAACTGATTTAATCTACTTATGTCTCAAATAATCTACATTAACCTTTTCCGTGGCCTCTCATGGCTTCCCTTTGTTTCCCCCTCATGACCATTGGCTGTTCTATTTATGTTTTGCCAGGTTTGACTACACCGGACATGGGGCCTCAGAGGGGGTGCTATCAGAAGGAACTATTGGTACCTGGAAAAAAGACGTCCTTTACGTGTTGGATGAGTTGGTAGAGGGGCCACAGGTAAATATTTCCTAGGATCACGGGTTGAGAGTCGGTTCCCGTTTAGAACAGGTTTAACGTCATAATTCATGCTCTCAGGAACAAGTGTTTTTCTTCCTGTGAGACTTGTCATGAAAGGAAAACGTATTTAAATGTATGGATGTTTTTCAACAAGCTGGACAAGAAGTGTAACATGTACGAGTCCCAAAACATTGATTTCAGTCGAGTTATAATCACAGGGTGATTGTTGTTCAATATGCATGCGTTAAACTATAAGACTCATTAGTTTTTAATAGCTTACAGCCAAATGAAGCATCTTCTCACAGTGATACAAGTGCATCTCCTAAAATCAACCAGTAAAGATGTTTAGATACTCTGATGGGAACATCTGAGCCACACAGGCACAATATAAATGTTATGTTAAACTTAATTATTGAATTTGACTAATGTTAGTTTTTAGTGGATTTTTTTGTTTTTGTTTCAACACATAATACTTTTAATAATAATTTCTGTCTGATGTGGTTTTTCCAAAACAAAGTTAAAAACTCTTAGAATTACATCTACTCGTTCTCCCTAATTCATAAATCCAGATTCTATGAAAATACAAAATATTCTACAATAGATTCTACATCACACTTATATAAGTTGCATATTTGACCAAGATTGGCTCCAAACTAGCTGTTATGTCACAAAATCCTGCTGGTACGTCCACGTGTTAAACTCAAGATTTAAGTTGAGCACAAAGAAACTTCCAACAGCTGAATGTAAAAACAGACTTCTAGCATCAAACTCTGCACATGTTTCATTCTGCTCAGGGAAGCTCAAACATCCAAGTGAAGTAACGTACAATAAGCAAAAACTCATTTTTGAGTTTCTCATGTTTGTATTTTCTATTGTATGTTCATCATCCTTCTATACATTTAATTCTATAAAACAAAATCTTGCACCCAAAAAATAACCAGAAAAAAAAGATGTATTAGAGAATTAATAAAAATAGAATCGGGGCAACAGCATGATCAATAAAAAATGTGAATTATTATCATTTCAACCTCCAGTATTCATTGTATGTTCCACTACACCTCCAGCAGATGGCACTGTGTTACAACACTTGCGGTATCATTCGTCTTCCACTGCTATGATTCTACTGCACGAGTCTGGTGTCTTTAAGGACTGTTTTTAATTTTGTATTTATTAATCAATTGTTCATGATTTACAGTCTATTCGTGGTGTTATTGCTTACTTGTAGATAATAGTGGGTTCCAGTATAGGCGGTTGGTTCATGCTGCTGGCGGCCATTGCGAGACCAGAGAAGACTGCAGCGCTGGTGGGCATCTCCACTGCCGCTGATCAAATAGTCACATCGTTCAACTCTCTTCCTCTGGAGGTAGGAACATGTCATATTATCTCATGCATGTCACATTGATGTCATTCTGTTTGAATATTGAGTTGGATTCTTCCGTATTTTAATGCGCAGACGCGCAAGGAGTTTGAGGAGAAGGGGGAGTGGACGTTGCCCACCAAACACTCGGAGGAGGGTCTTTACAAGTTTAGCATGGACTTTCTGCGAGAGGCAGAAAACCACTGCGTGCTCCAGAGTCCAATCCCCATCACCTGTCCCGTACGGCTCATTCACGGCCTCAAAGACGAGGACGTCCCCTGGCACATCTCCATGCAAGTCGCAGAACGCATCCTCAGCAACGACGTGGATGTCATCCTTCGGCGACACGGCCAGCACCGCATGTCCGAGCGGGACGACATCAAGCTCATGGTCTACACTATTGATGATCTCATAGATAAGCTGACCACTGTGGTCTGAGTAAGGGGTGCTGAGATAATGAGAGGAGGACTGTGTTTACCGGGAAGTCAACCCTCAAGAAAATGTACCAAACAATGGCATGTTTGTCTGCCAAATACAACCTTTTTTCCGTTTGTGTTATCCTCCCCGTACTTTATCATGTCACTTCAACATGCCGTTACAGTGATAACTATAATGAAAGGGAGGTTCCCTGTTAGCTGGTCCCTTATATCTTCAGGTTGCATTTGTATGTTCCAGGTTATTATGTGGAGTGTTATGTTGGCCTTTATTAGGTCCGCTGTCCCTGCCGCTGTTCTTCCTGTTTGACTGTTTCCCCCTCTTTCTTTACTTGGACGCATAGTTTTCCTGTGCCTTTTTTAATCACTTTTCACCCGTTTTGGCCAATAAAACCTCTGCACACTGAAGTGCAGGTCTCAGTCTGTTACCACAACCAAACCCAACATAATCAACTGACAAACGACTATCTTTATGAGCGCTGTTGATATTGAAATGCATACACAATACTTAAGTTCTGAAAGTATTTACAATTTTAGGAAATCAAGAGGTGAATTACAGAAACCTGAAAGTCCAACGTTAGGTGCTCTGGAGTGTGTGAGGGTTTTTTGTGAAAGTTGCAAATTTTGAAAGTGACATAATCAGACCCCAACTCAAATCACCATGATCGCTAAACGGATATAAAAGTAGATTTCAAAATAAGGATATTTCCTTTTATACAAATCCAGATGAAGTAAATGGCTAATAATTGGACAGAAATGTAATTTTGCCAGGTGTACTAGCAGCATGTCAACACAATGAATCACGGTGATATAGTGTGAATCACAAATCATCACGGCTTGTAGGCTGCAGCCATGTGAGTTTTATTTTTGTTAGAATATTCTGTTACATGTTCCCCCATACCTGCTGGCCTTTAGCCATAGAGAGGCCGGCTGAATGGAGCCACTTGACTGTTGATTATTAACATGTCATTGCCCACGAGCTGCTCAATGGGGCGAAACCAGCCGCTTAACTCTCTCGGCTCCACTTAACTGCAGCAGTGACCTTTTAACTCATGGTTGATCTATGTAGTTTATGTCAAAACTAAAATCAAACATCAATTTATGGGAGCATACAGCATGGCCGCTGTAATGCGAGCAGAAGAGATCGTGCATATGGCAGTGCATCTGGTGATGTTTTACTCTGGGCTCCCTTTACTTCTTACACAAAGCATATTTTTGCACCACAGATTTTTGTTTACCAGGCAATGCTTTGTAAGTAGTATTGTTACATAATTCCAACATGAATCCACTCCCAAAAACTCAGAGACGGATGCCCTAACAAACATAAGTCTTAATGTTTGCTTTGTGTAGAAGACAAACAATATGTCAGCAGGGAGACAAACTGGTTAAAGCAGCTATTCTAACAACATAAGCAAACACCCACTCTGCTCAGTGCTCTGGTGCCGTTGAGCAAGGCACTGAATCTACCAGTTATGAGAAGTCGAAAAGTGGAATTTCAAGTCTCAGGCGAGAGTTTAGACAGACAATACAATTATGCTATCACCATCGTGTGCCTTGGTTTGCTGAGGGTCACTTCATGCTGCCTAAAGCTGAGCATGCGCCACTGTGACCACCGTTCGGAAGCGGTGTCACATCGCAGTCTGTGTTGAGAGTCTCCAGGGACCCCTCCTTGTTGAGTAGCCATATAAAACGAGTGACCCGCCCCTCCCGGACAAGTGAGATCCAGCCCGGCCCGACGCGCCTGTGCTGCGCTTCATGGATGCTTCAGCAGTTCAGCATCCTCAGCCCTGCGCAGCTCAGCGGAAGATATCACTGTGACTCGGGACAGATCTGAATGCGCTCTCTCTCCTTTTTCAGTAAGTGTGGTCTTTATTGAATAAACCCACTTTTTGTGCATGACATGTTGGATGTACTGTTTATGCAGCCGATTCAGTGTCGCAGATATAGTGTGTGAGCTTTGCGCAGTTGTAAAAATGTTCATGTTTTAAAAAGCTGCAGGATGCGTAGCAATATGGTGTCGTGACATTAGATGGCGGGACTTTCTTTGAAATTTTCCCAATTTGACTGACAGAATTGCGCCCAATACCCAATAGGCTACAGTGAAAAACAATGAAGTGAAGAGTTAACACAAGCCTTTAAATGCGGCACAGAGGGCTGACGTAATTTAATTAAACTCGATTGCAGGCTAAATATAGAACTGTTATTGGCTACATTGTATGAATGCCTTGTTTTGTTAGAGGACACACTTTGTGAAAATACATTTGATTACTTAATTCTCTTCATGGTGTCTACTGGAGGTCATACTTGAGCCATCATCGCATGCAGCGCATCAGTGCACACAGCGTGCCGGAAACTGGCTTGATTGTTACCATAGCAATGGAAGGGGTGGTCCCTGCTCGGGACGGCTGTCATGGACCACACCCTTCTGTGCTACAGCCCCCAGAGATGCGCCTATAGGTGGCCTGCTGAGCTGTTAAAGGGGAGAATAAAAAATGGCTTTTGGGGCTTTTCTTTAAACATTGAGATTGTTTATGATAGCACTCTAATGTTATAGATTTTCATTGTGGTAAACAGAAAAATGTTTGCTCTAAAAAGAATTGTAGTTGTCCTAAAGTAATTTAATCAGGATACAAAGCAGTCACAAAAACTCACTATTAGGCGGGTATGTTATAGGGAAATTAGGAAGAATTTAGTTTGTAACAGAGTAAAGCCATTTCAGTCTCTTGTCTACCACATGTTGTCTTCAGGGCTACTATACACTACTTGAGTGTCGCGAGAGCTGCCATGGCGAACAGAGGGCCCAGCTATGGACTGAGCCGAGAGGTGCAGGAGAAGATCGAGCAGAAGTACGACCCAGACCTGGAGCAGCGGTTGGTGGACTGGATCGTTGGACAGTGCGGAGGGAACCTGGAGAGGCCGCAGACGGGCAGAGAGAACTTCCAGAAATGGCTGATAGATGGAACAGTGAGTGGCTGCAGTACCTGTTCCTAAAATAGAAGCTACCGTTGAATTATTTAAGATGCAACATAGTTGAGCCTCTGTCAGATTTAAAGAGCCCATGAAGTCAAAAAGCCCAAAATAAGCAACCTGACCTACAAACATGTGTCCAGTTAATTGTGAAAGCTTCAGTAAATAATACTGGAATAACGGACCATTATCATCACTCCTATTTAAAAAAGGGGTCCCACTGTTTTGTCTTACTGAAAAATATTTATTTTAGCAAAAGGTGGACTTTAAACTGTTGTAGTACATGCTTTGCAAGTGTTCAATTTTGTACTGAATAATTCTGGAAGCCTGTGATGGATAACCTCCACAGTGAAAAATCATAAGACTTAATTCACAGTCAATGCACCCTGCACAAAGCTGCAATGTCTTCTTACTTGACACTATAGCTGAATATAATCTAAATAAAATATATATACAGTCAGAGAAAGGCATAGATATCAATTTATGCACCAGCAAGTAACTTTACAATGCAATACAGCCGTGAAACATGTTGCATATTCACATTTTCAAGAATAAATTTGCTTTTACAACTAAATCCAAATGCATTTCTGTACCCCTTCCCTTGAGGCAACCCCTCCCTCCCAACCATGGCAAACATATTAATTATGTAATTTAAGCATGAAAAATAAGAGTATATCAAGAACTAAAACCCTCAACTGTCATTTTGGTATGGTCACGGATCAATATGATTTAGATTTCTGACCTCTTCTGTCCCAGATCCTCTGTCGGCTTATCAACAGCCTTTATCCAAGGGGGAAGGATCCTATCAAGAAGATACTAGAGACACAGATGGCCTTCAAACAAATGGAGAAGATCTCTCAGTTCCTGCAAGCAGCTGAAGCTTATGGAGTCACAACCACGGACATATTTCAAACTGTGGACCTCTGGGAAGGTGATTTTACATCTGATTACTTATTTCGTCTCATGCCGGAGTGATATTCATTCACGTTAGTTTTTATGATAATAATCAGTTTTCAGTTCATGTTATGACAAAATGATCATTGTGTTCTGGCTACAGGAAAGGACATGGCAGCAGTGCAAAGAACTCTCATGGCTCTGGGGAGTGTGGCTGTCACTAAGGACGATGGTCATTACAGGGGTGACCGAGAGTGGTTCCACAGGTAAAGGCATGTGTGACAGAGGAGCTTCACATTTTCACAGCAGCATGATGCTTCATGATCCTCTTCCTCACCTTGTAACTGTTGTCCGTGTACAGGAAAGCCCAGGGATATCGGCGAGAGTTCAGCCAAGAGCAACTCCGCCAAGGTCAGAGTTTGATCGGCCTGCAGATGGGCAGCAACCGCGGGGCCTCCCAGGCTGGTATGACGGGCTACGGTATGCACCGTCAGATCATGTAGACCACTTACTAACCTCCTCCCCTGCTTCTAGACCTTATTTTGTATTAATACCAGAAAGGTTGTAGCCCCAATATACCTCCTTATCCTCTCTAGCACCTGCCATGTAGACCTCACATTTCCCTGAATTGCTGCTTTCCCAAACAGTGTTATATCTTTAAAAAAAAAAATGATGTCAAATACGGTAGATCTTCTTCTTCAACCTCTCTTCCTGTTCCTCTCTTCCCATATTGCCATGTGCTGCCCCCCCCCCCCCGACCCCCATCTTTTTACTTTCATGTGGAACTCAAAGTCATTTATCATCAATTTCGTAGGCAAATGTAAGATTAAAATCTCTTTACAAAAGAGCCATCAGTGTAATTTACATTGTGAATCTCAAATACTGTGAGCCACGGTTACAACATGCTGTATGTGATTTATTTGTATTTATGTGTGCATTTAGTTACATTTAGTCATAGTTTTAGGATGATCTGTACCTATTTCCTTATTTAGCCATCTAACCTAATGAACTCATTAAGTTAGACAATGTCTCTGCTGTCTTGTCCGAGGACGTTTTTGCAGTATCCTCTGTAACCAAATCAACCTCACGTTGTGCCTGGTTATGGGACTACAGAGACTGGGCACTGATATAGTGGCCTAAAAATATAAACGAGCTTCATTCATTTTGAGTCATGCCCTTGTTATTTGTTTGTTAGATTATATGTCCAAGCAAGTAAATGTGCAGCAGCCAACATGTTCGACAGTGAAGTTTCCATTTCTGGTGCCGGGTGAAGACATTGCTTGAATGTGCACTTTTATGTATCGTCTTGTTTATATTTTTAAATATATTTATATCTGGAGGCTTGTGAGAAGAAGTATTGAAAAAATAAAGAATGTGAACATATATTTGTGTCTGTCTGTGTAACACACAAGCTGGGTATCTTGATAACTGGTAAATCAGGGGTTTATGCTGTATGCTCCGGATGTTGTGTGCTGTTTTGTTTCTTATCTTGGTTTTATGTTACAGCTCCTCCCTTGTGCCCATCCCTGCTGTCTCTCCTCACTGTACACGATCTAATAAAGAGACAGCAGCACAGCATAATGATTAGGTAGACAGATCCTCTAGCAGTCCTGATTCAACTCTTGACTCTCTGAGTGACTTTAAGTAAGATATTAAACCCTTTACTGGTCCTGTATTGCTGTTAAAAAGCTGATCTTACCTTTGTAGAGGGTGTAGCGACAACAGAAGAGCCACCAAAACTTCCATAAAGTTACTGTACTCTTCTTTGGTACTCTATTTCTTTTGTACAGCCTTTACAACACTGAAGTCTGTGGCTTGATGTCAACTCTAAACATGATTAACATTAAAATCATTCTAGCATCTAGATAACATCTGAAGGACACTGCCATTAACATAAGCACAAACCTTTGTCGAAGGCCTTCTGGCGACGTTGGGCTCTGGACCACAAAAAGGTCACATTTTATGTCAGTGATCCAGTTTATGGGGTCAACTGTTGCCGACTGTCGACATTTTAAAAAGCACATATGAGAAAAGCATGCATTAATTAACATTTTCACTTGTTATTAGCATCCAGTGAGTTAACGGCGCATTAAAATGCTGTCCTTTAAATTGCAGTCTAAAGCAAATGCTAATATTAATCGAAGGCTTCCATTCTTAACGCCATCTTTTTATTGCTCAATTAAAAGTAAGATATTCTCCCATGCAGACAGCATGCGATCATTTGCTTAAGTTTAATGTCCCGTTTGCTTTACAAGGAAGGCAACACAAACTATGTGGCCTTTTGCATGTCTGGCCCTGACATACACGCTATGCATATTGTTAGCCTCAACTAGACTAGAGAAGCGACTGAAGGGGCACAGGTGACAGACAGACTCAATGAGTAAGCCACAAACACGGTCGGACCAATGAAATGGCTTTGAGGACTGACGTTCCTCTTGTCCAAAGTTCTTGTCCAGTTTATGTTTTCTTTGGTCGGTGTATTATTTGTCTTTTGTTCCACTGTACTCCTCTTGAGTATTCCTGTTTTATAACAATTTGATTCATCGCTTCGTGTTCTCATATGAGTAGTGCATGTGGTTATGAGGCAAACTATGCACCGGCTTTAAATTATTTTAGTCTAAAACGTTTTGCATTGTTGGATGTTAGATTTGTGATTAGTTTTGTTAGACTGCTGCATCGGGTAAAATGTTGCAGGTGGGGGTTAGAGTCACTCTCTTGCTTCTGCTGTTGGCTGTCCGGTGTGTTACACAGGAAGAAACACAGAATAAAGGCTGTGTTTGTGGACACCCTGGAATACCAGGGGACCCTGGACACAATGGCACACCTGGCAGAGACGGCCGAGATGGACTCAGAGGTGACAAAGGTGATCAAGGTAAGTTTAAAACCCTGAGTCAATTAACTTTTTTTCTCGTCTTAAACTTAAACTTCACAATTGACAATAACACTCATTTCTGAATCACCCATTTAAAGGTCAAGTTGGCCTTATTGGATCAGCAGGCAATGATGGCCACAAGGGAGACAAAGGGGAACTCGGTATGTATCTTCAGAATCAACAGCACCACTGAAAAATAAACAGATCTGTAAAGTGACATGTGTTGAAACATGAATCAAGTTTTACCAGCTGTACATACTTTATTCAAACACAACATGTTCATATTTGTTGTAGCTTATTTGGCTTTCTGCAAAATGTATGTACTGAATAGTAAACACTGACCATAAAAGGATGGGAGGTTTATTGTGTTCTTGTCATTTACAGGTGCAGTTGGCCCAGCAGGGCTCAAAGGAAAAAGAGGAGACAATGGAGAACGGGGACCCCCTGGGAAAATGGGGCCCCAAGGAGTCCAAGGGCCCATGGGCCTTAAAGGAAGTAAGGGAGAGCTTGGGTTGACGGGACCCCAAGGACCTAAAGGTGATTTGGGGCCTCTTGGACCAGAGGGTCCGAAGGGGGAGATTGGCCTTAGAGGTGACAGAGGCATTCAGGGTCCATTGGGACCCCCTGGGAGGACAGGGTCTAAGGGGGAAATTGGTATCCCAGGTCACAAAGGCAATATTGGTTATCGTGGTGAGAGAGGGGCTCGGGGAGAGCAAGGTGATAAGGGTGAGAAGGGAGATGAACTTGTTATCTCTAAAAGTGCCTTCTCTGTGGGACTCACAGCGCAAAGTAAACTCCCAGCAGCCAACGCACCGATCCGGTTCGACAAGATCATTTACAATGAACAGAATCACTACAATCCACAAACAGGAAGATTCACGTGCTCCGCAGCAGGGGCCTATTTCTTCAACTACCACATCACCGTCTACGCCAGAAACGTGAAGGTGGCTCTGGTGAAGAACGGTGTGAGGATAATACACACCACAGATACCTACCAGAGCAGCGAAGATCAGGCAGCAGGGGGCGCTGTGCTGCACCTGGCTGTGGGGGACAAGGTATGGCTGCAGGTGGCTGGAGGAGAGCTGTTCAATGGGCTCTTTGCTGATGAAGATGATGACACTACCTTCTCTGGGTTCTTAATTTTTGGGGCTTGAGTTAGGCATAATTTCTTTAAAACTGCTGGTAAATGTAAACTTTGGTCGACTCTGCAATGCATTGTGCAATGTAATAAAGTGCATTTTCTCAACTACTGTTCGCAGGTACTACTTTACTTGAGCTTCTCCATTCTATGCTACTTCATTACTTTTACTACATTATATTTCAGAGCGAAACATCATACATTTTACTCCACTGCATGTATTTGACTACTGTGGTCGCTTTGCTGATTATACATTACAATGTATTGTTATAGATTAACTACCCAGGGATATAAAGTAGTTTAAAACAGCTCCACACTGTAATTTACCTTTTAACACATGTGTGCACCAGTGATAATAACCCAATAATATAATGTAGACACAGGAGCAATTTCTCAGCATCATGAGTACTTTTCTTTTTTAAATATTAAGTACATTTTGCTGGTAATACTTCCATACTTTTACTTAAATCAAATTTTAAATGCAGGACATTTACACTGTTGCATTGCTACTTTAAAATAATCTGAATTGTCTCCCACTGCTGGTATGGCATGTGCATGACGTAAAATGATTATCAGCCTGTAAATAAAAAAACAACATCATCACACATCAAATAGAGGCGTGGTGTTTGACGCAAGCAAAAGTTGTTTCAGCTTCTGTCTTTTATTTTTCCTCGTTGTTCTGTTCCAATACAACATTCAGGAAGTGTCACGAAGTGATTCTTACTCAGGTATTTGGGGATAGGCATGCACAACAGAAATACCCGAGACATTAATTGTCTTGGCAACTTTACAAGAGGAAGACCTGCTACAGCAACTGGAAGGTCCAGTCTTTTTTTGTTCAAGGAGCTGCAGGAAATGAGGAGCAGCATTCCTTTTTTTCTTCAATGAAGAGCGTTTCACCGTGGGCGTGGCTTCGCGGTGACGGGCTCATCTACTAAATTATGATTGGCTGTTAGCCGTATGGTCTATGCTGTGGTCAACCAGTAACCTCTTGAAGCCTCGCCCCCTGGAAACACTGCAACAAGTGCATTAATGATGCTCGCCAGCTCGATCCTGCAAGAAAGAGCTGTTTGAACTGGACTCATCATCGAAATAACAACTTCGGAAGAAATGGCATGACTCAGTATTTATTTTGTGCGGTTCCTTGACTACAAACAGGTTTTGCCGGTCGGTGGAAGAAAAAGTTGATCAGTGAGCTCGTGAGCTAGCTCAAGTTGCTAGCCCAGTGTCTTTAAGGAGTCAGACAGCCATTTGTCTCAATATGTTGCGGGGTAACTAGTCAGCAGCAGCCAGCGCACTTGTCGCTGTTTTTGTACCCGACATGTTTTTGCGAGACGACGAGTGCGAGGCAGCAGGGAGCTCAGAGAAACCCGGGCTACTCCACCATGGATAAACAACGAAAACAGCTGCTCTGTTGATGCGAGAAGACGGGTCAGGAGGACAACATCAGCGACTATGAGCAGGGTGAGCAACTTTATGTTTTCTATTATCTGCATACGTTTAAGTCACAGCTAAAACAAGCGACAAGTTATGCTACAACACCTTTAAATGATTTATTATAATCGTGTGTCGCATTACAGTTTGCGGTGATTTCCCCCTCTTGTGTTGCTGTGTGAAATGGGACCAGAGGGGGTTATTGTCGTGCATTACAGCCGTGGTTGTTATAGTGATGTGGGAGATGCCAGGCTGTGCAGGGAGTTGGTGAAGGAGGGGTTTGGGGAGGGGGGGAGGCCACTTACTACAAAGAGCTTTATGGCCAAAGAAAGTTAATTAATGCAGAAATAAATAAGCAGTTTGGCCCCGAGTTCTTTGTGGGCTTAGAAAACTTCTCAGTGTAATCCCCTTCCATAGCTCCAGAGTCTGCTTCCTTCTTGTACTAACTCAGCTACAGGTCTGCAGCCATCACTACAGTTTTCTCACAATTAAATATCTTGTTTTCGTGGCTCCCCAGATGTTATTTTATACTAGAGGTGAACTGTGGTGTCAAGATCACTCACTGTTAAATATTAAAGGGCCACACTCCTCTGCTTTATAGAGGATGTATAAAAACGAGGTTATAAATGTTTACAACGGTAGACTACTGCGATATCATTTTACACCAGGCTACTTTATATTATACACGGTTGTAATTAAAAAGAGGGCAAATTGTCTGTAGTTTATGAATGTAGTCTGCATTACTTTTCTTATTTTTCTACTTCAGACCATAGAGCAAAGAAGAAACTTACCAGCCATTTTCAGGGCTGTGACTGAGTCAACTGTGCCAGGGAAATGCTGTGTTCATATCAACCTGCAGCGTAAACTATTTCCCAACCCACAAACCGATGGGAACCCATGATTAAGGTTGTCTCAGATCCCCATTTGAATAATGAGTCTTATGGTTATTGTTGCATCGCTGTCAGGTTACACTGTTGGCTGTTAACAACGAGACTCAGTGGTGTTTTGTCCTCTCTAAGCCTTGTGCACTGTGTGGTGTTAGATTTCTGTCCGTCTGTCTCTGCGACAGTCCACAGCAGATCAGGTGAGAGTGGTGACACTCCCTGGTTTGGCCTGTATCTGTACTTCCCACGCTCTATAGGAAGGGGCGTGGCATCTCCTAATCTCCTTCTATCTTGCATATCAAAATATGAGGAACTAGGTCATGGAAAAATGTGAGACTTTACCCATGAAACTGAACCGGTAGCATATGATCCAGACTGGACACGTTGTCGATCTCATAATCATGTGACCACAACATAGGTGACATATTTTGTATGAATACCGTTTGTGGAATCTTTGCCTTTTTATCTCTTAATTTTCCCCCCTTAAAATGTAGAGTGCACACAGGCTAAGTGGCCCCCTGCTGTCAAGCCCTTGTGGGCTGTTTACAAGCTTTGGGTGTCACTCTCAGTCAGTGCTGAATAGCTTAGTTGTCGCCCTGATTAGGCTATCATGTGTAGATGAAACCAGTCCTGACCACAGACTGGTAAAGCTCCGCTCATAAGATTATTACTGGGATAGAGAGGAATAGGCCACACACACACACACACACACACAAACATACACACTCCCTCTCCCACACACTGGTCCCTCATAGAGTACATTTCCTTCAGAGTTTTTATGCTGACGCTTTTTAATCTTTGCCAGGGAACAGGCTGTAAAGTCAGATAACAAGCATCGAGGCTAGTAAGGTTTTAATATGGATTCAATATTGTACAAGTGCCTATAATCGAGGCACTTGTACAACCACGATGTGAACTGATTCATTTGAAAGACAAAACACAGTGAATTTTTGCTCTAGTTCTGAACATGTGTGCAGCTTAAGTTTCACAGAACCCCGGTTACACACCGTGATTTAGCTAATCAGCCAATCTGTTCTTTAAAACATTATGGCGTGTTGTTTTAGGACATGTTAGAGCGATGTCTTCATTCCTTGAGACAAATAGACGACCAGTAATGTGACAGCTTACGAAGGAATGGCGGTGTTGCTCCGGGGCGGTTGTGTCTGTCTCCGAGTTAATCCAGAGAACGGAAAATGACAGAAAAACTTTCCCTCGATACTTTCTGTCTTGTGGTTTTTCAATTTAATGCTCAGTTCATTTTGACCTAATTTGTTTTATCCCAGCCTCAGGCAGGACATGCCTCTGCAGAGGTGAACTATGGGTAAGGTCACTAATCACTATGCATTTATGACTCCTTGCATAACCGTTCTGGGTTTTGTAGCCCAACAGGAAGGGAGTCTGTGATTTAAATGCCTTCCTCCCTGCTCAGCTCAGTGCACGCATGTGTGTGAGTGCACATGGACATGGGCCGTGCTATATGTGAAAGGATGCTCGAACTAATTGTGCATGTGTTTTTGCAGTGCATGCTTTGAGCCCTTGTATACTTGTTTATGTATCTGGGTGAGTGTTTTCATCCTCGTCTCTGGGAGTCTAATCTGAGGCTGGCTCCAGCTGGCTGCCGTGTGTGTGTGTGGGGGGGTGGGGGGGGGTGGGGGGGGGGGGGGGGGGGGGGCTCCTCCCTGAGCTCTTAATTAACTGTGGACCAGGGCCCCAGTGCACCGCTCCCATCCACAGCCACAGAGCAACAGTGATCCTGGTACGGAGGCAGAGCAAAGATGATATAGGAAAGTTCACAGGAAAAGTGACCTGCATTCACAGACAGTAGGGCGTCTAAATAAACATATACGTGAGTAATATTTGTCTGGATGTTGCAATATGCATAGCTGTAGACATGGACGTAGTAGCTTAAGAAAATATGGAGGAGAGGATGCCAAAGATTTAAACTTTTGATCTTGACTTTTAGAGATAAATTTAAAATATTCTCGGAATTATGCTTTTCCCATACAACATAATACAGTACCTTGTAAAAAACAAAAACCAGTTAAGTATTCCTTTGTATTATATTTTTCAGAGTAAGAGCAGCTTTTCATAGTTAAGAAAACTGCAGTTGTCAGTGTTTGATCTTTTTTTTCAATTGTTAGTTATGGATTGTCAACAGACCTGCCAGACCTGTAGAAGCCAAGTGGCCTGTGATAGTCTGCTCCAAGTTTAGGGAGAAAGCAGAAAGGTGTTGAAGGATGGCACAGTCGGTAGACTGGCCGATCGCACGACACGAGTATTCAAAACAGAAACAAGCCACTCGAGCTGTAGAAGTTCCTCTCCTATCTAATCTTTCTGCTTGAAAAACAGCTGGAATAATTGATCGCGTCTATTTTTTCCAGCTGCTGCTCCTCAAAGTGATCCTTTCAGTGGCAGAGGAGGGAGAAAGTACAAGAAGACAATTCAGCGTAGCTTTGAAAGCGGCACATTGTTCACGAGGGGGTGTTTACTGTCTGTCAGCAGCGGTGCTTGGCAGCGGTGGCTCTGTGTTTACATAAGTGCTCTGTGTGATGGAGTGAGCCGGTCCAAGTGACAGAAGATCCCACAGAGAGTTTGACTGAGAGAGAGCCCGACTGCTGCTGAACACGCATGAGGGCGGGAGGTATGGGAGCGCTCCAGGGGCCCCGCAGCTCCCAGCATGTGGAGCCTAGATAGCAGA